CATTCTCAGAATCCTACTATGGAATAGGTACTAGGGTTATAAAATGTTCTGATTAAGTCTATCATTTAATAGACATTCATGAAAACATACCAGTTCATAGCAATAAAATGAACACAGTAATGGCGATATAAATGAGTTGAATGGATCAGAAGAAAAAATACACTTGAAATCTACTAAATGTAGACAGTAAAGGTAGTCCTTGGGCAAAGTCTAAAAAAAATGACTATTTAAGGTAGCTAAAAATAGCCTCTAATCCCGGTCCTGTTCTTTACTAGCTATGAGATCTTGGAACAAACTAATAATCTCTCTGAATCTGTTTCCTTATCAACAAACACATTATACATGCAATCATAGAGGTTTGCAACATCACATTTACGAATCTACTATTGGGGAATTTTCCAGAAGTTGTACAATAAGTTGCTAAACTAAAATTATAATTCAGGCCTCTGGAATTTCTATATAAAAGTCCTCAGCTAATTTCTGTCTTGTTAAAGTCATACTCAAGAGACTATCGATAAGTAGCAATTTTTCAGCACAATTTGGACTCATTTTTTTCTTTAACAGGTTAGAAAGCAACACTGCATATCTTAAAATCCAGCTTACATTATGAAACACATGATGCTCCCTATAAACTTCGTATTATTCACCATTCTTCAGCTACAGTGGCTGCCTTCCTGCTTCACAACTACACAAAGTACATTCCTGCCTTGGGACTTTGGCACTAGCTTTTCCTCTGGTCTGAAAGTCTCTTAACCAAATCTTTGAAAGTCTAACTTCTTCTTGTCTTTATGGTCTGAGGTCACAGTGACTCTTCAGAAAAGTCTTTATGAAGTAATTTAATCTCTGGTGGCCAAAATCCAACATGGACCTCTCTTCAACTCATTTCCCTATTTAGTTTCCTTCAGAGCATGTATTGCCATCTAAACATATCTTCTCCATCTATTTTACTATTTCAATCCCTGTTTCCACCAACAAAAGCTTGCAAGCAGGAATCTTAATCTGGCTTGCTTTCTGCTGAATATTCAAATCCCAGGGACAATGCCTGGCACTGAGTTGGCTTTCAGTGAAAGAGAAAGGAAGGAAGGGAGGAGATCAAGAGGAGAGGGAGGAGGAAGGGACAAATTTATAAATGAAACTTTGGAAAATCAAATCAGAGGAATTAATTTCTCCTTAATATGTATGTATTCATTCTGTGTCATCATTCAAAAGAAAGCTAGTTGTCCGTGACAGCAATCCTGTAAAGTTTTTTTATTTTTTTTTTATTTTTTGAGACATAGTCTCACTGTGTTGCCTGGAGTAGAGTGCCGTGGCGTCATCCTAGCTCACAGCAACCTCAAACTCCTGGGCTCGAGCAATCCTACTGCCTCAGCCTCCCAAGTAGCTGGGACTACAGGCATGTGCCACCATGCCTGGCTAATTTTTTCTACATATTTTTAGTTGTCCAATTAATTTCTTTCTGTTTTTAGTAGAGATGGGGTCTCACTCTTGCTCAGGCTGGTCTCGAACTCCTGACCTTGAGCGATCCACTCGCCTCGGCCTCCCAGAGTGCTAAGATTACAGGTGTGAGCCACCGCGCCCAGCCTCATGGGTTCCTTTTTTCACAAATCTACTAATCCTCTAGATATTATTATCATTTACACTTTCCATTCAAACCTAAGCTTAAAAGTTATGAGTCTATGTATTTAACAAACTAATGTATAAGGTTTAGTATGTGCCTAACACTGTTCAAGCACTTTAGTAAATATAAACTCATTTAATTTTGATAAAACTCTATGAAATATGCACTAACATTATTCCCACTTTAGAGAAAGGGATACAGAGACAGAGCTAGTTCATGTCACTTGTGCAGTGACAAGTGGTGGATAGGGTATTCACCATTGACCCAGATCTCCCAACATGAAAACTAGGATGTATCCTAGACAACTCCTCCTTACTTCACATCAAAGTGTTCATCAGTTTCTAGTGCTTTTTACCTCCTAGATAGTTCTCTATTTCATTCTTTCCTCTTTAACACTAGTACATTAGTTCAATCCCTTACAATTTCTTTCCTGAAACACTTCAATATCCTTCTCACTTTTCACTGTTCCCCTTCCAAATACATCCCCCACACTGCCAGAAGTAATCTTTCTAAGAAGAAATCTAATCATTTCACTTCCTTGCTTAAAACTATCCAGAGACCACCCAATGACTTCATAATAAAATCCAAACTCCTCAGCACAGAGTATAAGGCAAAGAAGCTTCCTCTGCTACCACCATTCCATATAAATCCTACAATCCAAATATACCCATTCCCTACAGTTTCCTGAAGGTATAATACTTGTCTATCAATATGTGTTTGTTCACATCTCTTCCTTTATCTTTAAGCATCCCCTAGGTTGAAAGATGTGACCCTTCCAAGTATGTTTTTACTCGTTTGTATCCTCTATTTTACCTCTTGAAAGCTAGCATTCATGATTTCTATTTCTGTACACCCAGTATCTCCCATGGCGCTTGGCACATGGTAGGCACTAAACACATGATGAACAAAAGAATGGACACAAAAGTGAAATGCTTTAAACTTATCACAAGTGTTTTATCAGACTAATGAGACAAACACTGAACAAAGAATGAAATTGAGTTTGGCATTTGTGATGCAGCTGTAGCCCTCTAAGCAAAGCTTTGATCTTAAACTTCCTTTCTAATTCTACCATTCTGTGATTCTACTCCACTAAAAGTAAATTGATACCTTTGCCAGCACCAGTTGCCTTAAAAGCAGGGCCACCAAGAAATATAATTCCACAACATTGGGACTTGGATCAGATAGCAGGCATATTCTGGCAGCACTTGGTGCCAATGTCCACATCTATTAAGTTTGTTTACTAACTAGTCTTATTATCTATTTCATGTTGGGATTTCTTTAGGGTGTGGTAAAATTGGACAGATGGGTTGAAAGTCTTCCTTCAGGCATAATACACATAGGATTGGGCAGATGGGTTCCAATAAGCAATCTTTAGACCTGGAACAAATGGATGAAGCAGGGAGAAAAAGAATACACTATTATCTAGTGATAGGTAAAAATATAGTTGGGAATGGAGATATTTAAAAAAGAGATTTAAAACATATAAAGTAAAACTAGAAAGTGACGCAGTATCACTTCTCTTCAAAAGCATGGACTTTTCAGGCAACAAGGTATATATTATAGTAATAAGTGGCCACCAAAACCTAAAAATAACTTAAGAAACAAGAAAGACCAACCATGGCGAGAGGAGATGTCAACGTGAAATAATTTTTCTAGTAATAAGAACAAAGCTCAATTATATTTAATATTTCTACCAGTTAATTGGATGAGGATTTTATAGACTATTAAACAAATGGGCAAATGGTTGTAATCTGGGAGGAAAATATCAGAATTCCCCAGTGTGAAAAGATGGATTAAAATGATAAAATAAAAAGATAAGTAAAAAGTATTGTGCTTCAATTCCCCTAAAGCCCACGGTAGAAAAAAAGTAAGCCCTACACAAGTGTACAATGCAGAGATACACATTTGTAGCAGCACATATAAAAATGAGTAGAAATTAGAGTTGAAAATATAGTTGGCAGGACCAACAACATGACATGGCTGGAAAAAGAAGTTAGTTTAGTCTTTGGCTGTATCAATAGAAGAATCATATCTGTGTGGTACCTAGAAGCTGGCTGGGCTGGAGAGCTTCTGTTGACACTTCCCTTTCTAAACTCTGCCCTTCCCTACCCTGCCCAGTGTCCCAGGCTGCTGCTGACCTATCTGTACTGCATCAGTGACTTCTACTCTGACTTCCAGTCGGGTGTGGCCACATGGTAGCATGAGCAGAAGACAGGAGGGAGGCAAGAGTGTGAGATCAGAGTATTTATTCCCGTGGTTCCCTCCTTGTAGTGATTGAGTCTCTGCCACGCAGAGGCCATGCCTCTGTCTGCCAACCACATGCACATGTCCCTCTCCATCTCTGGACTCCAGTAACAACTTCCTTTTCTCTCTCCTTTATGGCAATGGGTAGCAAGGATAACCTGCTTTACTAGTCCTAGGGTATGCCCCAGCCCATTTGGATTTTTGAAAATAGTTTCTTTATTTAAATCTCCTAAAGTTGCCCAATTCATATGATATCTATTTCCTGTGGGCACCCTGGCTGATAAACTAACATTTATTGAACACCTACTACATGCCAAGTACTCAGTATGAGCTGTTACGTTTAATGATTTCAACATCCCTCTGAGAAAGGTTCTATTACCCTACCTATGTCGTGGATGAAGAAATGAAGGTGCCCAGAGGTTGACTTGCTTAATGTCAAACAGCAAGTAAGTGACTAAGGTGGATTTGGGCCCACACTGTCTGACTTGGAGCCCATGCTGCCCACTGCTAGGCTCAACTCACTCTGTTCAGAATAGGTCAGGTCCCACCTGGGAATGGTTCTTCCATCCAGGTTTTCAGAAAAATCACACAAAGTTGTGTTTAGAAGGAATGCCAGGAAGGGTGAGGAGATTTCATAACTCTGAGGAATAGGAAGACTGTGCAAATTTGTAAAGCCTTTCTGAAAAGCAATTTGGCAGTATGTATCAAGGACCTTAAAAAATGCTTTCAAGTCTGTTTTCCCAGGGAACTATGTTAAGACGGCGGTTGAAATTTTGTTGTGGGTTAGTTGATCAGAAGATATCAAATCTATCCTATGATATCTTCTGAAAGAGTAAGCCACAGGTATATTCTGATACAAAGAACTAAAGGGAGAATTGATCTGTAGCTTGGAGGAGCAAAAACAAGCCTGGAATGGACAAAGCAGCATGAGGACCCTGGGGCCAGAGACGTGACCCGATGGCAGTGTGTGGGCACGGGAGAATGACCGACACAACTCACCTCTGGCCACATCTAAAGCTTGCCAAGGAATAGCTTCACTAGTAAGCCCATCCGGCTTGATGAGACCATCCATTTCCCAGAGCTCTTTCTCATAGAGTGTCATTCCCAACACACTCTCGACGCTTGTGCCTTTACTCACCAACTTTCAGCTCCCCGCCTGCAATGACCATGCACGCCACACTCAGGACATTGCTTCTGTCCACAGGGAAATCTAAAGTCCCCATCACATAGAGCCCTCTGAGGAATGGAAGATCTGTATCCACAAGGACAGTCCTGTCTGTAGAAGAAAAAGAAATGGCTCAGATATGTAAGCAAAACAAGAATCACCTTCTGTCCTCTGCAGACTTATTCTGGGGTTCTCCTGGCAATTCAGGAGCTACCTACATTGCTGCCTATGCCAGGACAGATACAGAAACTGGAAAAATAAATAGTCCGCCAAAGGTTAGGACTTACGGAAAGGGGTGGGGGGCCATGATTCATAAACACTGCCATTGTTTAACACATCAAGTGTTATGGTCAAAATGCATTGCTTACGCCCCAAACTGCTGCCCCAAGCCTACTGCAGAGCAGACACACAGATCCAAGGAGCCCCTACCCTTTGTCCCTGTCCTTTCACTTTTGGCTCTAGTTTCAGGGAGGTAAAGAATAGTAAATATGACCTTGGCTTCTAAAGGCAACCTATTTGGATATGAATCCCAGCTCTGCTACTGACTGGTTGTGTAGACCAACAACTTTATCTCTCTGTTCCTGTTATCTCACCTGTGGAATGGGGATAATAATAAAAATATCTGCTTCATTACACCAAGAGTGCAATGTGCACCACCCGAAGGATGGACATATTTGAAACTCGGACTTGGGGGGGGGGGGGCATGGGCAACATGCGTAGCCTAAACATCTGTACCCCCATAATAGGCTGAAATAAAAAAAAAAAAATCTGCTTCATTCACAGGATTCTGTGAGGGTTAAAGGAGTTAATAGGTCTATTATAAAATGCATGTGCAATACTAGTAAGCTATCTCCAATTCACTCATTCCCACCGAGTAAGGCAAAGTTCATGGTGCTTAATAAATGCTGGATATCATCATTATCTGTACTGCTGTCCATTAGCACGGCATGCTTAGAGAGCTCACTGGACAACTTAAAACCACTATTTTTTATCTCTCTTTTCATAAAAGTAGCTTCCATAGAACCTGAGAAGAAACAATCATAGATTTTGTCTGAAATCAACTATATGAGAATAGAATATTCTCATTTAAAACAGTAAATAGTTCGTGTACGTCAAAGCACTAAGTGTTACTTTCTGAAGCTTGGTAGTAATTCAATACTAATTAAAGATATCAAATAAAGGTTTCGGCTTACATTTCAAGTACCATAATCACTGACACAAACAAAGATTTGTAAAGAATTCTTTTGTTGACATAATTTCAGTTTTCATTCCAGGAAGCAAGGCACCCTGCTGTTCTTAAGGACCTCTCCCAGCAAATTAACTTGTCCTGAAATGTCTTTCCTAGCCCTTGCCAGCTTCCTTAGTTATAAGACCTGCCATGCCCTCCTTTGGCAGAGACCATAGGGTTGTAAACCAACCATTTCCCTTTTTCTCCTGCATACCCAGTTAGACTACAGTTTCCAGCCTTCTTTGCGTTAGATGAAGCCATGTGACTAAGCTGTAGCCTATAAAACACAGGCAGAATTAAAACATGACATCTCTAGGCCTGGTCCATAAATTTTGTATGGCCTTCCCTCCCCCTTTCTCTAAGCTGGATGTGGATTGGTGGTTTTCAAAGCACAGTGGAGGCACATTAGGGTGCAGTGCAAGTTTTAGTTCTTTTAGTAAGCTATTCCCTCCCCTTATGGGCTCTACCAGTCCCCCTGACACCTTTCACACTCCAGTGATAACTTACACATATTTCTATCTGAGTGCTAAAACACATTATTAAAATTATATACACACATTATTGTACATAAGGAGGTAACTGTCACTGGGTTGGTGCTCACTGTAATTATGTCTTCCTCTCCCATTGTTACTTCCTTAAGGGAAGAGACTGTTTATTTTTTAAAATCCCCAGTGTTTATTGTAATGTTAATGATAAAGACACTAAATAAATGTTGCCCAGGTCTGTTGAGTTCAATCCCCTACATACCTTAATTTTGAGAGTTTGTGAGTGACTAGTACAAAATGAATGATGAGGCCAAACAGACAACATAATTATATATCTCAATCTCATCTCTGGCGCTTTTCAAAACATTCAAACAAAAGACTAAGATATCTAGAGAATGTTCTAAGTTTAGCACATATTTTATGGGTCCAGGACTTTAAGATAAAAATTATTTAAAGCAAATATCCTTAAAAATGAGAGTTCTAGGCTGGGTGCAGTGGCTCACATCTAAAATCCTAGCAGTGTGGGAGACCCAGGCAGGAGGAGCACGTGAGGTCAGGAGCTTCAAGACCAGCCTGAGCAAGAGTAAGACCCCATCTCTACTAAAAATAGAAAAAATTAGCCGGGCATGGTGGCGCATGCCTGTAATCCCAGCTATTCAGGAGGCTGAGGCAGGAGGAAGGCTTGAGCCAAAGAATTTGAGATTGCAGTGAGCTATGATGATGCCACTGCACTCTAGCCCGGGTGACAGAGCAAGACTTTGTCTCAAAAAAAAAAAAAGTTCTATACAAATGTTTTTTATCTATTCCAATCTATAGCCCATTCTACCAATGTTCAGCTATTGAACCATATTGTACAAAACAATAAAATTGGTTCAATAAATACTTTCTCTCACCCACAGGGTATTCATATACACACATAAATGTATGATAGCAGGTGCTTTTGAACATGCTTCTCAGCTAAAATATGACACTTACACACAATTTAAATTTTTCCCTTTGTTCTTTATCACATACCACTCTTAGAAGAAATTTTTCCTTTTAATTGCCCTACTGACTCTAAATATACCGACAAATTTCCCATGAATCACAGACAACCTGTTATAGCCCCCTGAATACAGGGACTATAGCTTCTCTCCTCATTTTTATTTTCTCAAGACCTAGAACAATATCTAGCACATCATAGGTGCTCAAAAATAACATCAAACAATGCTCAGACACACAAATACACTTGCGTGCACATAAAATTCAATAGCTATGAGAGGAAAAATATAGGATGAAGATGAGAGTAGAAATATTGCTCTTATTTCTTTCTGTGTCACACTTTTCACTTTCAAATTTCCTGAATCCATCTGCCATCTTTACTTCTTCCTTCCTTTCCTTCCCCATGATGCACCAAATCTTGTTGGGTGGTGAGAATTTAAAGATGAGTGAGAGATGTTTCCCACCATCAGATGAAGACAGATATATATACGAATAAATATAATGATATACTTGAAATTACAATATACTCGTTAACTATACAGGTTAACTATACAGGTTAACTCTATCTTTATTCCCAACTGCTTCAAATTGGAAAGTCTATCAATCTGCCTATTATAACAAAATTCTGCTAAAATGGAATAAACATACTTTATATAGATTTGTTATAAAGGAATTCTCCTTGTATCACAACAGTAGAGATTTCAGCTATAGTTGCTGATGACACAAACAAAAGAATTCACCCTGAAGTAGCCTCCAGAGCAGGTCACTGCAGGCCCACACTGCCCAGTCCTCAGCTATAATGACACAGAAGTTTCCTCTTTTCTCTAGGTGTGGAAAATCGGCAGCCACATTCTCTAGAAGTAGCATCCTTTCCATAAAAATAACTCAAGGTATTTTAGAGTAATCACTCAGAAATGGTTATTTATACAACCCACTTAATAAACATAAATGATCGACCACCTCTAATTTAACTGTGGCCCAGTGCTTTCCTCCTTGTCCTGTCTTGGCCACAGCTATTCCAGTCTCTTTTGTCAATGACCAATCTATCCTACTTGAGAGAATGAGCACTAGCATATGGAGGGAACCATCTGGAATTTCTGTTGCTCAATGGGAGGCTGATGGAGGAGCTGATCTGGAAAGAGGCTCCAAAAAGAATTAATGAGTTCCAGATGTAATTAAAGACTGCTTTTCCCCCCAAAGGGGCTCAAGACCAGCCATGGGGTGGTGCCTCTTCGTTCCGAATTACACCCTCTAACCACTTGTTCATCCATCAAGCACTAAACACCCACCATCTTTACCCTAGTATCTTTTGCCAAACAGCATTTTTTTATTTGTTTGTTTTCTGAAAGTGTTCTATTTTGACAATTAGAAGACTAAAGCCTTAGAAATAATACCTGGAAAGTTAACACTAAGGAGAATCCCCTGAATTTCTCCATGTACTAAATGCAACAACAACAAAAATGGCAACAAAGAAGATTCAGTATTTTATGATAAATGCATTAGCTACTCTCAAGACCAGAAAACCTGAGCCAAACTGAAAGATAGGTGTCTTTGACAGAGGGCTAGAGCTTCTTCTGTATAAGAAATAATTTGACAACCATAGTTGCAAAGCATTCCATATAATTTCAACACTAGATTTAAATTCACTTTTTTTTTCCCCAGCAAAGTTAGGGAATCAAGGTCACCATTGTGGAGCATTCCAAGGGTCTGACACTTGTCTAAGTCCTGTAAAAATGAGATCAAGGGCAAAGGGCACAGATCCTGGGAATAATGATGGGGTCACATGAACAAGCATAATTTAGGGCAGGCAGCCCCACTGCTTGTATGGCATTCACTGTATTAGGCCCCATAACTTAGGTGGTGAAGACAGTTTGCACTACAACTCTGCCATTGTCAGGAACGCAGCCTACACCAACTTTAGGCAGTTCAGACTTCTGACGGAGAGCAATGGCATGCAAACGCAGAGCAGTACATATAAGGACTATTTGTGGGTTTGTTATTTTCCTGTACCTTCCATACTTAGTGGATTTGTTTCTCCCTTCAGCCTTGGCCCTGATATTTTCCTATAAATATGTGAACCAAAGGAAAAGTAAATTTTAATGCTATTTGAATCACTATGAAATGATCTAATCTTCTATTTTAAAAAGAGAGTATTTTTAGCTCAAAAGTGACTACTTTAAATATACATTTTACACAACGATTGGTAGTGTTTTCTTTCTTTTGTGCTCTTGTTTAACTTTGGGGGAACCTAACAATCTATTCAAATAGTCTATCATAATTTATAAAGATGGACGATACACCCAAGAAAAGTCCTCCTGAAATAGAATGGAAGCTCTCATACATAAATAATTCACAGAGATGAAAGGTTAACTGATTGAAAATTAGTGTCAAGTAGACTAATTTACTGAGATGATGGC